GCGAGGGCCGGAGCCACATCGCGGCGCTGGCCGACTACGCCATGCACCTCATGGAGCAGATGAAGTACATCAACGAGCACTCCTTCAACAACTTCCAGATGAAGATTGGTGAGCCCTTGCACGCCCCTTTGCACCTCCAGCCATCCCACACTGTTGTTTATGGCTTTGTGCTGGTGGCTTTTGCACCCCTTTTTCCTCTCTCATGCCCTCCCTTTCCCAATCACCTTTTCTTTTTCCCTTTCATACCCCATTTTCCTCACACCCCTTTTCCTTTTATACCCCATTTTCTCCCCTCCTGCCCTTTTTCTGCTCTTGTACCCCCTTTTTCCCCACTCACCCCCTTTCTCTCCTGTCCTTTCCCCTCACCCCTTCTTTACCAATCTCACTTTTCCCCTCTCCCCCTCACATCCCCTTTTTCCCCTCCACATTCCTCTTCTCCCTGTCACTGTCTCCTTTTCCAATCTCAGCCCCTACCCCTTCTTTTCCCCCCTCACCCCTATTTCCCCCTTTTCCCCTTCTCCCCATCACCTCCCCTTTTTCCCCTCCACATTCCTCTTCTCCCTGTCACTCTCTCCTTTTCCAGTCTCACACTCTACCCCTTCTTTTCGTCCCTCACTCCTTTTTTCCCCTCTCTTCCCCGAGTATTTGGGTTTTCCCTGACTCTCAACCCTGTCTCCCCCCAGGCCTGAACATGGGCCCAGTGGTCGCAGGGGTCATCGGGGCTCGCAAACCCCAATATGACATTTGGGGCAACACCGTCAACGTCTCGAGCCGCATGGACAGCACCGGGGTCCCCGACCGTATCCAGGTCAGTCAGGGCTGGGAGGGACACAGGACACCTGCCCAGAGACCCCCAAATCCCCTCCCTTACCCCTGTGTCCCCCCCTCCAGGTGACAACAGACCTGTACCAGGTGCTGGCGGCCAAGGGCTACGTGTTGGAGTGCCGGGGGCTGGTCAAGGTCAAGGGCAAGGGGGAGATGACCACCTACTTCCTCAATGCAGGCCCTGGGGGCAGTTAGTGGGGGGTCCCCGTGGTATCCCCTCATGCTGGGGACTCCCCCAGGCAAAAAAAAAAAACAAAAAAAGGAAAAAAATCCCCAAATATATTAAAAAAAAAAAGGGAGAAATGGATACAAGGAGGTGGTTGGGGGGTGTGGGGAGGTAACCCTGTGCCCTCCCTCCGCGGGTGTTTTAGGGGGTGTTTCCCAGCCCTGCACCGGGGTGTTTTTTGTGGGTGGGGGTCATGGTAACCCCCCCCAATCTCTTTGCTGAACCCCCCCATGTGCCAAAGAGGGGAGATGGGCCCCCCTCCCCCCCCAGAAAAGGGACTGCAGGGGGTTTTGGGGGTCCCCAGCCCC